AACGTAACTCCCCCCTCTTTTTAAACGCCGACAAAGCAACCAAATTCAGTCTCACCATATCTATGAGGTGGCTTAATTTCTCTTCTTGTTATATTCTTGGTAATAATATACTGTGTGGTTGTCATTATGATGGTGGGATAACAACATCATCATAATTATCTGAATTTGACTTAGAAGTTATGCTTGAGAGTGTATATGTATCAATCTAAAGCTCCACTTGTCTGCCAAACATTTCTTTCTTATCATCAGCCTTATATTTTGTAGAAGATGTTGTATGTAATATGACGGACTCATCAAATACAACATCTCTATTAATGATTACTTTATTAGTTTCTCAACACCATAACTTATAACATTTAACTCCATTTTTATAACTAAGAAATACACACTTTATAGATCTAGACTCTAATTTACCATTATTAATATGAGCATATGCGGGACAACAAAAAAAAATCTTAAATTAAAGTAATTTGCAAGCTTACCTTTCTGAATCTCTTGTGGAGTTTTCTAGTTAATAGCAATGAAAGGAGAGCGAATCACAAATAACAAGCTGTAGAAACAGGCTTAGCAAAATGACTTACATAGCTCAGCATTAGGGTGTATGTAACAAACCTTCTCCATTATAGTCTTGTTCATTCGCTCTGTCACACCATTTTGATAAGGCGTGTGTCGGACTTTGAAGTCTCTTATAATTCCTTCATATTTGTCGAAGGCGTTAAATTCTCCTGAATATAACTCCAACTCATTATCAGTACGAAATCATTTGATCTGCTTTCCAGTCTGCTTCTCAATCATAATCTTCCATTCCTTAAATGTAGCAAAAACATTGCTTTTCAGCTTCAAGAAGAACACTTGAAATTTTCTAAAGAAATCATCGATGAATGTCAACATATATCTGGCGTTTGGCGCCTCTTTCAAATGATACTGTAGATAGTCTCAAAATGTATGTAGTCTAATATTCCATTAATATTGTGATTACCAGTATTGAAATTAAGGTTGTGTTTGGAGGCGCTTATTTGTGTGGGCGACGTTTTGAAAACGCCGCCCGAACATTTGGTTAGAACATTCGGGTGGCATTTTCCTAACGCCACCCGTGTTTTGTTAATATCCGCGGACGCGGTATACGGGTTGTGTCCCGCGTCTAGCCCCTGCGTTTTCCTCCATTTACCCTTCTGTCCTCGCTCTTCTCCTCTTTGCTCGTCTCGTGCAGAAGCCCTATCTGCTCGATTCTCTCCTCATTTCTCTCGACTGTTGCCTTCTTATCCCCAATCTGTGTTGTTGGTCCTCTGTAAGTAACCTCCTCGTCACCTCTGTTTAGGTGATTTTCGACCTTCAGGCCTTTTCCGGTTTGGAATCTCCATCTGCTTTGATGTCAAAATTTTTTGATGCTCTCGTTGAAAGAATTGTTTTTGTGCTAAGGTTTTTTATTTATTATTTCATCGATGCTTTCGTTGAAAGAATGGTTTTTTTTATGTCAGAATTTTTCCCATATAATTTTGTTGCAAACAACACTCTGAACTGGGGCAGAATAATTATTTATCCAGTAGCAACTACAAATAAATTATTCTGAATAAACTTCCGAAACAACAAGCCAGCTTATCCTGATAATCTACATATTATCAGATTGTCAGAATAATTGGCTTATAAGTAGATCATAAATAATCTGCAGCTGCCCCAAACAGACCCTAACTCTTTTCTATTTTTCAAATACAAAATGTTCACAAAACTTCAGTTTAGTAATGCTTTGACCATTTATAAGACTCATTTTGCTTAGTTCAACCAACCAATTCTCACTCATATGCCTAAGGAGCATATGCCAAAGTCTAGTTGCTTCATCTTTAGACATGAAAGAAGTAGTAATCGTTGCATCACCTAACACAGTAGAGTCTTACAAGACATATAGTCCAGCAACCCTCTTCTATCTCTTCATCATAATAAGAGATCATTTGCCAACCTTTAAACTCCACCTTCACCAAAGTACGTGTACCCTTTAGCACCAAGAATACTTAAAAAATTAGATTATTTTTCAAATCTGGGTATGTTTCACATCTCTAAGTGTTCTAATAACTCAATCAAACATCTTGATTCTAACAGATCCGGTACTAATCATCTTACAGAGAGCATTATTGCCCATTAACCATTTGAAACCATTTCATTTGTTAAAAACCAATCCTTATTGCGGCACATATAAAATGTACATGTTAAATCAAGAACACAAACATCACAAGAATCTCCGTTGGAAACAAATAAGAGTTCACCGTCATTAATAAATTCTTCAATAATATTGGTTTCACCAAAATGATCAGATTGTTTATTTCTTTGATTTGAAGTTACTTTCTTATTTTTATTCTCCAATGACATTAAAATTTGATGTGTCCCTTTTCCTACAGCAATTGTAGATCTTATCCTTATTTCTGAATTTTGATTTACTTTTTTGTATTAGCACAAGAGCTTCGCTCTTGAGTTTTACCTCAAACAATAAGGCCTTCTACTTAAGTAATCGGTTGATCCACAAGTTGTTTCATCTTCTCCTTAGAAAATAGATCATCATATTCGCCCATACAAAATAGTTTCTCTAAACGTTATATATGATGAAGGTGGTGAGCACAACAAGATTACTATCAAATTTTCTTCGTCACATTTAACTTCCATGGCTTCTAAATCAGAGATAATTTTCTTAAGGACAATTGAGTGATCTGTAACAGATGCAACATTTATCATTCTATGAGAGTGCAAACGTTGTTTTAAGTGTGTCTTATTGATAAGGCTTTTCATCATGCACAATTGCTCTAATTTGAGCCACAACGTAATAACGGTCTTCTCCTTCAAACCATCCTATAAAATCTGGTTTGATAAAAGAAGATGAATTTGAGAAAGAACAGTTTGATCTTTATGTTGCTTCTCCTCCAACATCAATGATAAGGGCATCTTTTAGAACCCAAATGGTGCATCGTCTAGATCCATATGTGCTAAGAATGCTCGCATCTTAACCCGCCAAAGACAAAATATGTTGTTGCGATCTAAAAGAGGAATGTCATACATTATTGTTGCCATTATCGAAATCAAAACTTTGCTCTGATACCATTTATTATAACTTGATATTTAATCTATGCAATAAATAATAAAATAAGCAAAAGAAATAACACATAAATTTTACATGGAATTCATTATATCAAATAAGAGATTACAAGTGGAGAGTGTATTGCAAAAAACAAATGATTGGTATTTATAGTTTTAACAAGGCCCCTTTAAAGGAAATAATTAAAAGAGACAATAAAACAATAAGATACGAATTATAATCTAAAGGCTATTATAATTTTGATCTAATGATAGAAACTTTCAATCCGTGTGCTAACGGTTTTCTTCTAAATCCTCTATCTGTGTTATCATAATTTCCTTATGAGACTACAAGCAGGACCCACCAAATTCGAGTCAAATCTAGGAATTATATGGCTAGGTTGATTAATAGACCGAAATCATAACAAACACTTCATCATTCATAGAAATTT